AGATGAAGGAGAAGGGACTTCCAGAATCCCAGCCACTAGACCACTGGGATAAAAGAGCTGTTGTTGTGTAGCGAGTCCTTGCACCTATAACCCCCCCCACGCGTCCCTCCTGCAGGCCCCCCCTAAGTTCAATCGAGGATCTTACATTGCCAGATCTACTGACACCTCCCCAGACTGGGAGGTCCAGGACTACGCGTAGCGGCTACCGCTTGCATGTGCATACACCAGGATTCGAACCCGAGACCGCTCTTGATACATGTCAGAATCCCAGCCACTAGGCCACTATGATAAAAGGGCTTGTTTGTCGCGGGTCCGTGCGCCCATAACCCCCATGCGTACTCGCCTGTAACCCCCCAGGATCAATCGGGGATCTCACAGTGCAGATCTACTGACAGAGGCTGCTTGGGTGGCGGCCGGCTGGTCACCCCTGCCCCGCCTCACCACCCCCTTCGCGGAAAAAGGCGCGACCGCGAGAAGAAGAGGGGAGAGAAGGGCGGCGGCTGATGTTGCAGGCCGCTATCCGCCACTCCTCAGCCCTCTGCCCAGCCCCGCCACCTTCCCCCACAGCGCCCGTCGAGGCAGGGCGCAGTAGGAGGCGTGGGGGCAGGAAGCAGGCGGGAAACGGCGGGGGCGCTAATGCTAGTCGCGTCAGCTGGCGGCTGAAGCTGGCGCTGACGTTGGCGGTCGTCGCTAGCCTCCCCGTCGCTGGCATCCTGCCGCGACGCCCTTCCCCCTTCCATTCTCCCCCCCCCCACTGTTGAGATAGCTAGGCAAGGTGAAGTTGACTATCGAGAGAAATTTTACAAGTAACACAACCCTAAGGAATTATCCCCTATAACATCTACCCCACTACAGCCTACCAATATGTATCACACATATATATCATTTGACACACCCCCATAGGCAAAGTGGGGGAGAGCAATGGGTCACAAGACCAGTCAAGAGAAACAAAACAAGCTCAGGGTGGATCACAACGTCACCACACATTCTGAGCACAAGAAAATGGCCACAAGGCCAGTTCACATGCAGAGATATATATGCAGCAATGACAGTACAGTGTCGAGCTACCTAGCAAGAGCCAGCATGCAGGTATATATGTATATAGATCACAGTACAAGCAAAGACTACAGCAAGTGTGGAAGCGTAGGCACAAGGCCTAACAGAGTACAAAAGCGCTGATGATCACCAGACGGAAGTGCCTTGGTGAATATATCAGCAGTGTTGGCCCGAGTGGCCACGTAACGAAGACAAAGCTGGCCTCGCTGCTGCAACTCTCGAGCCAGGAAGTAACGCAGAGCAATGTGCTTCGTTCTGTGCTCCAGTCTGTGCTCCTCACACAAGGCAATGGCGGCCTTGTTGTCAACGTACAGCACTGGAGGAGAACGAGGCTGCTCTCCCAAGTCAGTCAGCAGGTAGGTGAGCCAGCGTAACTCCTGTGCAGCCATGGCGGTGGCGTAGATCTCAGCCTCACAACTGGAGCCGAGAACTGAAGACGAGCGTGTAGAACGCCACGAAACTGAACCAGAGCCAAGGCTGAAGGTGTAACCCTGTGACGACCGCTGAGTAGCCAGGTCGTCAACCCAAGAAGCGTCTGAGTGCCCAGTGAGGACAACTGGGCTCGTCCCTCCAAGCACTAGCCCCATGCCTGATGTGCTGCACAAGTAGCGCAGTACCCTCTTAGCAGCAGCCATGTGCTCAGGTCGGTGTCGACCAGGAGCCACGTAGCGAGCGAGGAGACCAAGAGGGTAAGAGGTACGCGAGGTCAGGTCGAGTGCAAGTCATCAGGTACATGAGGCAGCCGACTAGCTCTGGGTAAGGACCACTCGGCTCTACGGACTCGTCCGAAGGTGGAGCTGAGAGCGTGTGACCTGTAGCCAGAGGAGTGGCCTGTGCTGAAGACCAGGTGAAGCCGAAGCGCTGAAGGACCTGCTGCACCATGTGTGACTGAGTCAAGGTGATGGTGCGGCGTGCTCTGTCCCGGGTGATCTGCAAGCCAAGGTAGCTGCACAGCTCACCCAAGTCAGTGCACGTGTGTCTCTTCTGTAGCTCCGACTTCACGTGGGCGAGAGCCTCAGTGTCAGCAGTGGCAAAAACCAAGTCGTCGACGTACACGAGGATGTAGAACGGCGGCAGTGAAGTGTCTGTGCGCAGAAACAGCGACGGGTCAGCAGTAGAAGGCGCAAAACCCAAGAGCCGCAAGTGTCGTCCTCAGTGTGTCGTGCCACTCACGTGGCGCCTGGCGGAGACCGTAGACCGGCCGTCGGAGGCTCCACTGGGTGCCAGGAGGGAACGACCCAGTGAAGCCCGGGGGGCGACGCAGCCAGATCTCCTCGTGCAGGCTGCCCTGTAAGAAAGCTGTGCTGAAGTCAAGAGAGTGAAGCTCGTAGTCACGGTGAGCAGCAACGTGCAGCAGCACCCGAAGAGTGGTCATCTTCGGGGTGGGGGAGAAGGTCTGGAAGAAGTCAACTCCCTCTCGCTGACTGAAGCCTCGAGCCACGTAACGCGCCTTGAAGACAGGCGGAGAACCCGGCGGCCGCTTCACCCTGAAAATCCACATGCCACTGACGATGTTCGCCCCAGGTGGGGGAACCTCGTCGACATAGGTGCCTGTGGACTTCCAGGAAGCCATCTCTGCGTCCATGGCTGCCTGCCACTGAGAGGAGTAGGGACTCTCTATCGCCTCTGCGTAAGAGCGCGGAGTCGGGATGTCTGGTGCATCCGGGTCTCCCTCAGGGGCAAGTAGCGAGGACACAAGATGAGGTAAAGCAGCAGCAAGACACTGGAACTCCTCCTGCCTGTCCTCAAGGACGTCCGTGCTAAGAGCACACTCACCCCCGACGGACGGAGGACAGACAGGCGCAGACTCAGCAACAAGACTGGCGGCGTAGTCTAGACGACAGGCAGCAGCAAAGTCAACAAGCTCAGCGACAAGAGCAGACGCAGCAGTAGACTCAAACGACGGGTCAGTGACAACAGTGGCTAGCAGACGCGTGACAGTAGGGTGCTCAGCACGAAAGCGGTCAGACTCAGGGTCCGGAACGTCAGGTAGAGAGGACGCAGGAGGAGACGGAAGAGGAACAGGCTGCAGAGCAGAGGAAGGACGACGAACTACGAGGTGTGTGCTGGGGACAGCCTGCTGACGCGAACGAGGAACACGACGACCGGGACGAGCAGGCGAGACAGGACGCGACACAGGCTCACGACGCTCAGCAGGACTACCAGTCTGCTCAGTGTAAGGAGAAGGAGCAGGCAGCGGTGAGCCAGGCTGTAACGGAAGACCAGTAGACGACGGGAGAGTAAGAACCTGACGAAGAACAGAGTCAGACGGCGGCAGAGACGACGGAGACGGCGGAGCGAAGAACAGTCGTGTCGGCGCAGCTGCATCAGTACCGGCAGCTCCAGCAGCTCCAGTACCCCCAGCAGCTCCAGTACCTCCAGCAGCTCCAGAACCTCCAGCAGCTCCAGAAGCTCCAGTCCCAGAGTCGTCACCTCCAGTCCCAGGGTCTCCAGCCTCAGTGTCACCAGCAGCAGCACCCCCAGAGCCAGCACCTCCAGTCCCAGGGTCTCCAGCCTCAGTGTCTCCAGTACGAGTACCTCCAGAACCAGCGACTCCAGCACCTCCAGTAGACAAAGGTCCAGCACCACTCCTAGCTCCAGCAGCGCGACGCTGACGGTGACCGTACCAGTCCTGCAGCTGCTGTGGGGTGAGAGGCACACGTGGACGAAGGCGGCTACTCCAAGGAGACCGCGCAACAGCAGACTCAGAACCCTCAGCGCCAGCACCCCCAGCTGCTCCAGAACCTCCAGCGCCAGCACCCCCAGGCTCCTCACGCGTAGGCTCAGTACCCGCAGACTCGGCACCCGCAAGCTCAGCACCTCCAGGCTCCTCACGCGCAGGCACAGCACCCTCAGACTCGACACCCCCAAGCTCAGCACCGCCAGGCTCCTCACGCGCAGGCACGGCATCCCCAGACTCCGCACCCCCAGGCTCAGCACCTCTAGGCGCCTCTCGCTCAGGCTCCGCACCCCCAGGCTCAGCACCCCCAGAGACAGCACCCCGAGCAGGACCACCTCCAGCAGGACCTGAGTCACCAGTGACCTCAACAGGCGCAGGTACCGGAGGGTCTACCTGAGAAACACCTGAAGGAGCAGGACCTGGCGCGGGGAGGGGGTCTACCTGGGGAGGACCTGGAGCGAGAAAGAGCGGCGGGGGGGGGCGAGAGACAGTGCGGTAGGGAAAGAGACGGTAGAAGGGAACAGACTCGTCAAAGGTGACGTCCTGAGACGCAAAGACACGGCGCGAGGTGGGGTCGTAAAACTGCCAGCCAGGCGCGTCAGGAGGAAAACCAAGGAAGACGCAGGGAATGGCGCGAGCAGAGAGCTTGTCCGCGGTGAGATCGCGGACAAAGGCACGAGCACCCCAGACCCGGAAACGCGACGCATCGCCAACCTCCCCCGTCCACAGCAGTGTGGGCGAGGTCTCCGGCAAGGAGACACGGGGCCAGAGGTTGAGCTGATGCGCGGCGTACCGGACCGCGAACGGCCACAGAAAATGGGGAGCCGCCGCATGGATCATGGAGGTACGAGCGACCTCCATGACTAAGCCAATGCGGCGCTCAGCAACCCCATTCTGCTGCGGAGAGGCCGGAAGCGTGAACGACTGGGTGATGCCGTGCTCCGCACAGAAGGCTGCCAAGAGGTCAGAGGAGAACTCACCACCTCTGTCAGAGTGCAGACGCAGGACAGGAAAGTCCCGCTCGAACCGCTCGCGGAGCTGGAGACGCACAGCGCGGATCCAGGGGATCAAAACAGCAGGGACGTCTCCCTTGCTGCGCAAGGGGAAGACCGTGGTGTAACGCGTGAAGTCGTCGACAACCAGCAGAAAGTACCGCTCACGGCCCTGTCCCTGGACGCGGGCTGGGCCCCACACGTCCAGGTGAAGCGTCTGCAGGGGAGCCTCTGTGGGAGGAAACGAGGAGGAGTGAGGAGCGGCGCGCTGCCGCCCCTCGACGCAGGGAATGCAGGGCGGCGCAGGTGAGGGAGGGAGGGCAGGCAGAGACCTGGGAAGCCCAGAGACCAGAGAGCGAGAGTGCATGCTACGAAGGCGAGGCAGGGAGGGGTGACCAAGGCAGTGGTGCCACAGGAGCGTGTCGTGCGACAGGCGGCGGCACTCACACTGGGTAGCTACCTGAGCAGACGCGTACAGCTGCGGAGACAAAGGAGCGGAGCGTGAAACAGTGGTGAGGGTGTACAGACTGGACCCCGGCTCACGAGTGAACGTGGCCAGGTGGCGGCCAGTCTTGGAGCACGTGCAGATCGCCACACGCTGCCCTCCAGGAGTCCAGGTGTCAACCCAGTGATCCTGGAGGACGGCGTTGCTCACCAGGTTCGTAGAGAACGAGGGAACGTGGAGACCTGACAGCTCACCAGACGGGACCGCCGGACACGGGAGCACAGTCGTGGCTCGTGCAAGCACTGGGCCCCCAGAGGGGTCAGCCAGGGAGACAGGGACAGGTGCAGGGAGGGGAGTGACGGTGGTGCTATCGCGAAAGAAACAGCGGGAAGCACCAGAGTCAAGTGTAAACGTGTGCAAGGCCTGAGCCGACTCAGTACCAAGGGGAGCAGACTCACTAGCACCTAGGGCTGCAGCCCTTATACCGGGGTCAATACCAGGGTCAGGCGGCACACACAAGTAGCAGTCACCCTCAGCACTAACAGTCAATGCATACATGGCAGCAAGAATAACATCATAGTCCAGATCAAAGATAGGCACATCACGCCTAAGCAGCTCTGCCCAGTTGGGGAACTCAGTAGCATCAGGATACTTGGTACGCCAGGCGTCACTAAGCCTAGCAAAACAACGATACTCAGTGTGAAAACCGTTGCAGGGGCGACCCTTGCGGGGGCCAGTACGAATGACATAGGGGCAGCGGTCAGAACCCCGAGACGCCCCACGCCCAGCATACCAGTCATTGAGCTGCTGGGAGGTGAGGGGAGGAAGCTGCTGCTGCTGCTGTGGCTGCTGCTGCTGCTGCTGCTGCTGCTGGCCACCCTTCTGGCCAGATCCACCCCCACTCCCACCTCCACCGCCACTGCCGCTGCCTCCTCCCCCACCACCGCCGCCGCCGCCTCCACCGCCCCCGGTCCTGCCGCCACCCCACCCACCGCCTCCACCCCCACGGCCACCCCCACCACCTCCACCACCCCCGCCGCCTCCACCACCGCTCCCTCCACCGCCACCTCCGCCACCCCTGCCACCCTTGCCGCCCCTGCCACCACCACGCTTCCCACCAGGAGCGGAAGCCGCTGCGACCTTCTCCGCACCGAGGAAGTCGACAGCAGTAGCAGCAGAGGCGTAGGAGGGGTCAAGAGGGGAGGGGGAGCACCCCTCAAAGAGGGGAGTGCGGGGAGTGCCACGAGCAGCACCGACAGCGAGGATGTTCTTCTCTGCTGCGACCAGCTGCTGCTCGAAGTCGTCCAGAGTGATAGTTGGAGGATCCTTGGCAAGGAAGTAATCCCTGACAGAGCGAAGAGTGTCAGGGAGGCGGGTGACGAGGATGTAGAGGGTGAAGTACAGCGGGGGGGTGTTCGTGGCGAGGAACTCGTTGGTAAGAGCGGCTCGAAAGCGGGCGTCACTAGCGCGGAGGTGAGTGATAAGGTCGGCAGCAGTGTGAAACGAGGCTAAGTCTGGGAACAGGTAAGGCAGGATGAGACTACCAACGGTGGCTGTGGTCGGGGCGGAATAGCGGGCAACGACAGCATCATACAGCGTCTTAGCAGTCTTAAGCTGGTTGAAATGCGCGCGCTCAGAGATCGGTAGGTGATTGCGAATAACAAGGCGCGCGACAGCATCGCGGAGCTCCCACTGTGCTCGTTCAGGGGCAGGAGCAGTCTCAGCAGGAGTAGGGACAGTGCCGGTCACATAGGCTAGCAGTGACACTCCGTCTGCGACGTCAGTCATAAGGTAAAGGCGCAGGTCACTAAGCCAGGTGTCAAACTCGATGGGGCGGCCGTCAGGCTCAAAGGCGAGAACAGTAAGGGTCGCCATGGTTGTAGCGCAGGCAAAAGTAGCAGGCTCAGGCAGCAGGCTCAGGCAGCAGGCTCAGGTAGCAGGCTCAGGCAGCAGGCTCAGGCAGCAGGCTCAGGCAGCAGGCTCAGGCAGCAGGCTCAGGCAGCAGGCTCAGGCAGCAGGCAAAGACTGCAGGTTCAGGCAGCAGGCTCAGGCAGCAGGCAACTGTAGCAGGTAAGGAAGCACGCAGTTCTGTGACAGGCCGCGCGTAAGGCAGGTAAGCGCACGACTCACGGGCGGCTAAGCGCTCAGGTCGAGGCAGTGGCGCACAGGCAGGGCAGGGCACGCGCTGCTGCGGGCTGCGCGCGGCAGCGGGCTGCGCGCGGCTGCGGGCTGTGCGTGGCAGCTGGCTGCGCGCGGCGACGGGCTGCGTGCGGCTGCGGGCTGCGCGCGGCGACGGGCTGCGTGCGGCTGCGGGCTGCGCGTGGCTACTGGCTGCACGCGGCGGCGGGTCGCGCGTGGCGGCGGGCTGCGCGCGGCGCCGAGCTGCGCGTGACAGCAGCGAGCACGCGGGCGGCTAAGGCAGCGGGGCGCGCTAAAAAAAAATGCACGCGCGCATGCAGCCGAGGCGCGCGCGGGCAGCAGGCAAGGTAGGCACGTAGGTATAGCTGTAGGGAAAGTAACTCATGAGTAGGTGGGCCCCAATCTTAGGTCCTTAGGACCATTGCTCTAGATGCCATGTTGAGATAGCTAGGCAAGGTGAAGTTGACTATCGAGAGAAATTTTACAAGTAACACAACCCTAAGGAATTATCCCCTATAACATCTACCCCACTACAGCCTACCAATATATATCACACATATATATCATTTGACACCCACCCCTCCCCCTCCACAACGACAGCTGCTGGAAACTCGCAGGGACGAGACAGGTGGAGAAGAGCAGGGGGTCGAACGTGGGGCATGGCGACGATACAGAGGTTCGGGGTGGGCAACAAGCGCAGGCGCAGCAGGTTCGTGCCAAGCAACCTGGTGCAAAGCAACCTACCTACCCCACCAATCCTCCAACCCACCAGCCCCCCTCCCACTTTCTTTGTTATTTTCTTCATCCTCCACTCCAACAGTTTTCTTTGTGTTGGGCTGAGAAAAGCCCTTAGGATCTTTGCAGGGGTGAACTCTGGGTAGGAACAGTGTAATAGCGGAAGCGTTTAATGATGAGATTGTGAACCACCTTGCGATAGTGTGTGAGGGCAAAAGTGAGTTGATTAAAGCAAAGAGATACAAGATTATATAAGAGTACAAGGAATATGAAAGGATACAGCTATAACTGTTTTATTGTTGCTGTTGCGGTTCGATACAGTGACGACTCGGGCAACTGCTCTGTAACGAGTCAGTTGTGTGTCCTTGCTGTCGCACTGTACTGGTCAGGTCAAAGGTCGCTGACCTTTGACCTTCGCGTAACCTCCAGCGGTTACTTCAACCTCCGAGGGTTGACTCGCTGGTGCTTCGATATGCTTTGCTTCGTTTGTGGCTTGGTGTTTCGCCACGACAGAAGCGCTTTAAATCAATTGTTTCCAACACTTTGTAGCCTCAACTTTTGTAACTTTAGAGACAAGTGTCTCATCTCATCCCATCCCATCTCAAGTTTGTTCGTGTTGTTTGATGTTGATACCAAGGTAACGCTTGTTACAGTACGTAACGGTTTGTTCAAGGAATACACTGATGGGGAAAAACATTCTCCCATATGACACTTTGAGTAGCATACCCTGGCCTTACGAAAAAAAGAGAAGATGAACACTATTTCCCTACACTTGCAAGCAAGCAAGCGAAATAACTAGTAGTTGGATGTGGCCATTCGCTACCCAACTGTTATGTTAAGGAATTTATTAGTTATCGTATCACTCGCTTGTGACCAGCCCTAGTCGTCGTACCATCGCTTTCCTATGGACTGCAAAAAAAAAGGAGACGAGGAGAGGCAGTAAATATGCAGGGTTTAAGACCAGAACACATACAGATTGGATAGACTACTCGACACACAGTAAAGCAGAGCACGAAGTGAAGGGACACACACATTAATCGACATCAGAATAAGACAGTACCAGTCACGAGCCTCTCTCTCTCTCACACATACACGCACTTATGTCGAACGCTCTCTCTCTCGCTCTCTCAAGCAATCTCTTTCTCTCTCTCTCTCTCTCTCTCTCTCTCTCTCTCTCTCTCTCTCTCTCTCTCTCTCTCTCTCTCTCTCTCTCTCTCTCTCTCTCTCTCTCTCTCGCGCGCGCACGCACGCACGCACGCACATCGCACACGCCTGTGGAGCACACTCTCTCTCTCACACACGCACACACACCTGTCGAACACCCAGTCTCTTGCTGTGCCGAGTGGGCCTTGTCGCCTCTTGAGCCCCCTCTTTCCCACCACCACCACCACCAGCACCAGTGGGAGCAGCAGCTACAGTATTTGATGAACTTGGTTTGGACTTTCTTCGCCCTGCCCCTCTTGCCGCATTCACCACGTCACCACCACCACCCACCACCACTAGCACCACCACTAGCACCACCACAGCAGCAGCAGCAGCAGCAGCACCAGATCCCCCAGATGCTCTCTCTGCTGCCTCTCCACCCCACTGCCTCCCCCTATCTCCCCACGAGGAAAGCCCCTCCCAGGGTATACTTACCCCCCCTTCCCCCGGACCCACCCCCACTGCCCCTCTACCCAACTCCCTTAGCTCTAAATCATCGTCATCATCAGCATCAGCTGAAACAGCGTTAGATGATGCGACTGGGACGGCAGCCGCTGCTTCCGCAGAAGCTTCCTCTTCAAATGCCGCTGCTGCTTCTGCTTTGCTACTCGCTCTCTGTTTTTTCTCCTTCCCCGCTTTCCTCTCCTTCCCCAGCTTCTTCTCCTTCCTCTGCCCGCCCCCTTTCCTCCTCTCCTTGACCCCATTTTCCTCATCCTCTTCCCCTTCCTCCTCTTCCACCCTTCTCCTCTTTGCCTCCCTCTCGACCTTCCCTCCTCCTCGCTTCCCACCCACACGCCCTCCTACTCTCCCACCCACCTTCCCTCCTCCTCTCCTCTTACCTCCCTCAACCCCTCTTCCTCTTCCCAGCACCGCCCCACCTCGCACGCTCTTTCTCTTCACCCTTCCATCTTCATCCCTCTCACTCTCCTCTTCCTCCTCCTCATCTTCCCCTTCATCAAGCAATACCACTGTCTCCTCTGCCTCCTCCTCCTCCCCCCCTCTTTCCCCATCCTCCTCCCTTCCTTCCACCTCCTCCTCGCTCCTCCCTTCTCCCTCCTCCCTATCCCCTTCATCCTCCCTACTCCCTTCTCCCTCCTCCCTATCCCCTTCATCCTCCCTACTCCCTTCTCCCTCCTCCTCCTCCTCTCTATCCCTTACACCCTCCTCCTCCCGATCCCCATACCGCATTCCAGCCTCAGCCCGCCCTGCAATGATAGCACGGGCGTTCCATCTCCCCGACCACCTACCACGAAGGCCCATCCCTCTCACTGCAAGCCCGGCCCCTCTCATCGTAATCCCAGGCCTCCGAAGGGAGAGCCCTGGCTTTCTAACAGCATTCCCTGGAGACCCGACAGTATCTCTGTACCTCTCTGTACCTCTGTAACGCTCTGTACCTCTGTCCTCCCACTTGCCCTCGATTCGTGAGCGCTCCTCCTCCTCCTCCTCTTCTTCTTTCTCCTCCTTCTCCTCCTCCTCTTCCACCTCTCCTTGCTCCTCTTCCTCCTCACTCTCCCCTCGCTGCACCTTCTTCCGTCCCTCATGCTCTCTTCTCTCCTCTTCCGCCCCCTCCCTTTCTCGCACCAGAGCCAGAGCTCGTTTCAATGCCCCAGCTGCAGCCGTCCTTCCCTTACCAGGACCACCACCATCGGCCCTGCTTGCCTCTCTCTCCTTGCTCCAACCACCAGCAACAGCCTTAGCACTAGCTTTGGCAACAGCACTGGCACCAGCAACAGCATTGGCATCGCCACTTGCATCAGCGCCTGAACCAGCAGCTAATCTCTTCGAAGCTCGCTTGAGCCCAGAGCCAGTCTTAGGGCTACTACAAGGCTTTTGTAATGCCGTCCCAAACACACTCTTATAGTCACCAACCGGCCGTCCCATAGGCTGTTTCTCACCTCCACTCAGCAGGGTTTTCGAACCCACTCCCTCCTTTTCCCCCTCCGTTGCTCGCTTCTTCATCCCCTCCTTTACTCCCTTCTTTACTTGCGATTTCACTTGCTTTTTCTGCCCCTCCTTCAACCCCACTCCACCCAGCAGCACCCCCACGTACTGCTTTCGAACCTCTGCCGCAACTGAAGGCTCTCCTTCATTCACACCCGCCTGTTTCAGCACCTTGCTTGGTCGCAACTCAGAAGGGGTAACTTCTGAAACTGCCCCAGCGCCCTCTGTTTCCTTGGTTCCTTTACCCCTGGCTAGAGGTTCTCCCTTTTGCTTCTCTCCCTTCCCTCCCTTCTCTCCCTTATGTCCTTTCTCTCTCTTCTCTCCCTTTCCTTCCTTCCCGCCCCTTCCCCGTTCACTAGGCGACACTACAGTCCCTGCCCCCGCCCCCGCCGCTGCTGCCTCATCACTAGCAGAAGCCCGTTCCAGCACCCTATCAACCGAATCCACTCTCTTCCTCTGCACCCCATCCGCTCTCTGCACCCCATCCGCTCTCTGCACCACCCGGAGTGGTCCAGTCATCACCCGTCCCCCCTCCTCCACCTCCTGCTCTCCCTCCTCTGCCCCCGCCTCCCCGCCGTCCTCCTGCTCCGCATGCCCTTCCCTTCCAGCAGCAGGCACAGCCGTCTCGTTGGCGGATTCAGCCGGCTCCTTAACCAACTCTGATCGCTTCTCCTCCTCCTTCGCCTCCTCCTTCTCCTCCTCCTTCGCCTCCATTTCCAGTCGACTTACAGCGTCCACACCCATTAACAGCAGATCCAGACTCGACGCCCCTCCTACAGGGCCGCTCAAATTAGCAGCAGCAGAGCCGCTTATTGGGGTGGTAACATTTTCATCCTCTTTCCTAGCTGCTTCAGTACCAGAAGCAAAGCCTTCCCCATTCTCCTCCACTGCTTCTGCAGCGTCTGCCCCTTCTCCTGCCCCTCCAGCCTTTTTGGCCTTCGGCTCTTTCTTTTTCCGCCTCCCCAAAGCCTCTTCCAATTCTGGGAGCACTTTCTTACCCCCTCTTTTCACACCTGTCGCTTTCACTTGCTTTTCTTTCCCCAGCGCCTTTCCTTTCTCTTTCTCCTGCTTGCCCAACTCACCCCCTTCTCTTCCACTCCCAGCTCCTCCCTCTAGCCCCACTACCCCCTCCAACCCCTTCCCACCTCCACCCACCTCCACCCCCACAGCACCTGCTGCAACCTTGGCCTTTTTCCTCTTAACTCCTCCATCATCCGTCCCCGCTGCCTTTCTCTTACTCGCCACTTTGCCTTGACCCCCCTCGACCTCTTCCCTTTCTCCTGCTCCTCTCGCCCCATCCTTCCCCACCGTTTTCACCCGTTTTGCAACTGCCATGGCACTAACATCACCTGCAGCACCACCAGCACCAGCAGCACCACCACCAGCAGCACCACCAGCAGCACCAGAACCAGGACCAAATCCTGCCTTCCCCTTTTCCCCTACCTGGCCTTTCCCAGGCTTCCTCACTTTCTCCTTTGGTTTCTTTACTATAACCCGTCCTCCTTGGGCTTTTTTGCTCTCTACCCCCGTTTCAACAGGTGCTACCTCAACAGTACCCCTGTCAGCAGCACCTGCAACCCACCCACTGACCGCCTCCTCCCCTTGCTCCTCCTTCTCGCCCTCCCCCTCTCCATCTGCTGTCTCTGTATGCTCTGAATCCTCTGCTGCGCCTGCCATATCAGCTGCTGCTGCTCGCACTGCTCCTCCCACTCCTCCCCATGCTGCTGCTGCTGCTGCTGCTGCTGCTGCCCCTCCTGCTGCTGCTCCTGTAACAGCCAAGCCAGCACCAGAAGAATTGTCATCAGCAGCAGCACCACCAACCGCACCAGCAGCACCAGCGTCACCACTCTTGCCCCTAGCCTCCTCCGCTCCGACCCCCTTCTTCCCTCCCTTCACAACCGCCTCTCCCTTCCCCTTCATCTCTCCCTTCCCCTTCTTCTCTCCCTTTCCCTTCTTCTCTCCCTTACCCGTTTTCAACACTTTCTTTGGAACTTCCGCCTCCTCCTCTCCCTCCTTGCCCTCTTTGGGCCCCTCCCCAGCCTTACCCACCTTCACCTTCGCAGATACACCTCCCCCAGGCTTCACCTTACCAGGTGTGCCTGCTCCAATGCTTGCCTTCCCCAAGACTGGTGGTTCCTTTCCCTTCCCCTTCCCTTCGCTTCCTTTATCCTTCACAAGTCCCTTTTTTGCAGATTTCTTTCCCGCTGCCCCTGCTGGTGCTGCTGCAGTTCCTGCTGCCCCAGCTGCTGTCTCTGCTGCTGCTGCTGCTGCTGCTGGTAAACCTGCTGCTGCGGCTGCTGCCCTTGCCTTTCCTGCTGCTACTGCTGCCGTTCCTGCAGCAGGTGAAACCACCTCTGCTGACTCAACTGCAGTAGCAAGAGAAGCGTCACCAGCAGCAGAAACAGCAGGCGCAGCAGCAGAAGCAGCCACAGCAGCAGCAGGCGCAGGGGCACAAGAACCAGATCCTGCTGCAGCTGCTACAGCCGGCAAGTCTGCAATCCCGGGCCCAACTGCCTCTGCTACAGCTGGTGCTGCTACAGCCAAAGGCTCAATTGAGGCTGGCGCAGCAGAGACAGAAACAGGTGGTCTAGTGTCTACTGTTTCTCTTGGCCTCCTGACCTCTGGTGGTCCTAGACCCAGAGAAAGAGCAGCATCAAACCCGCCCGCCTCAAGCCCCCCACCACCACCACCACCACCACCACCACCACCACCACCAGCAGTTCCACCAGATTCAGCCTGGTTCGCCGTCCCATCCCCACTCAACGCACCAGCCCCCTCCTTCCCACCCCTCTCCACCTGCTCCCCTTCTTGCGGCCACTCCCCCTCACTCCTACCAGCTTCCCTTACTGGGACCTGAGCCGGAACTAAAACCCGATCTGCCTCAATTCCTCCCAAGAACATTCTCTCCACCCGCTGCTCTGGAACCCTAAAACTGCTGCTACCCACCTGCTGTCCTTGCTCACGTAAGCTGCTGCTACCCACCTGCTGCTGCCCCTGCACGACCGGGAAATTGTGAATCCCAAGCAGCTGCTGTGTCTGCAGCTGAGAGCTACCACCACCAGTCTGCCAATTTTCTGAACGGCTTTCCCTCGGGCCTGAAAGCGCTGGCTCTGCCTGCATAGGCCCCCCTTGTCCTTTTTGAAACGCCTCAGGGGGCGTTAGTGCTGGTACTGGTGCTGGTGCAGGTGCTGGTGCTGGTGCAGGTGCTGGTGCTGGTGCAGGTGCTGGTGCTGGTGCAGGTGCTGGTGCTGGTGCAGGTGCTGGTGCTGGTGCAGGTGCTGGTGCTGGTGCAGGTGCTGGTGCTGGTGCAGGTGCTGGTGCTGGTGCAGGTGCTGGTGCTGGTGCAGGTGCTGGTGCTGGTGCAGGTGCTGGTGCTGGTGCAGGTGCTGGTGCTGGTGCAGGTGCTGGTGCTGGTGCAGGTGCTATTAGCAAGGGGCGACCAAAGAGCCTCTCTTGAGAGGGAACGGGAGGGGCGGGCTTGGCATCAGCAGGAGGAGGACGAGCGGCAGTGGGAGAAGCAATGGGAGGAGCAGCGGGAGCAGCAGCGGAAGCAGGGGTGTGCGTGAGAGGGAAGGAAAGAAGCGAAGGTGTGGCATGTGGAGCTGCCGCTGCAACGTTCACTGCTGCAGGTGTGGGGGCAACAGCAGGAGCAGCAGCGGGAGCAGCAGCGGGCGCAGGGGTAGCAGCAGAGGGAGCAGGGGTAGCAGCAGAGGGAATAATAGGAGCAGCAGCAGGGGGAGGAGCAGCAGTGGCACTCGGTACAGTCACACTTGGTACAGTCACACTCGGTACAGGAAAGCTCGGTGCGGGTATAGTCACACTGGGCAGAGGAACGCTTTGATTGCTGGTGAAAAACCTGCTTAAAGCCCACGGACCGAGCAGAGACGGGTCTAGCGCCCCCACTGCTACCTCCACCACTCCCCCCTCCTCTGCTGGTGGCTGGAACCTCCCTCCTCCCGCTCCTACTAGCACCACCAGCACCAGCAGCACCAGCAGCACCGGCAGCACTGGCAGCACCAGTACCGGCACCAGTACCAGTGCCAGCAGCGGTGGGAGCAGCAGCAGCAGGAGGAACCATGGCAGGAGAATCAGGAGCGCGACGGGGAGACAGGAGGTGGTGCAGGCCGAAACCCACAGCAGGGGAGAGTGAGATCGCCCTCACTCCTCCCCCTCCGCCCCCTGCTCCTCCCAAACCTGCTGCGCCCAAACCTAACCCGCTTCCCAACCCTGCTGCTCCCAAACCCAGCCCTCCTCCCAAGCCTGCACCTCCCATTCCTTCCCTTCCACCGGAAGGGCCCAAGAGCGGGGGTAACAGGAGGCGTTTCACCAGCAGCACCACCACCACCAGC